AGTGAAGAAATTCACTTTATAAGAATGAGAAGTCACTCTTGAAGTCACATTTAGATGACTCGACTGTTACTCTATTTTCCAAATAAGATTTTTACTTCAAGAAATTTAGAGAGAATATAAACTTTTTTCTTTATTTTGACAAGAGAAATATTATCTAAATTCTTTTTTTAAATATTTCGTAAACATTCTGTATATACAGGGTGTCTCAGACTCTCCTCCGCAATTTTTGTGAGAACGTAGAACGGGTTGAGGTCAGAGGTGTCACATTTACGACACAGGCAGCATTAACTACAGTGCGTGCGGCGCAGTGCACACAAATAAAGAACCGTATATATGTTGCCGCTCGAAGCGCTAAATGCGTAATATTGCGCTTAGCGCTTCGGGTACTATTAGCTATAATAGTCGAGAAATTAATTGTGAAAGATTAAGGAAAAGCGCTGAATGCTCGAGCCGAGCATTCCTATGTTTCCACAAAAATTGCGAAAGAGAATCTGGGATATCTTATATATCACACATTCTTTTTATAGAGATATCATTAAATACTTTAAACTAAAATATTAATTTAAAATAATATTCTTTTAGTTATTTTTATTAATATTTTTAATTTTATAATATTAAAAAAAGAATTTATACAATATTGCTATAAAATCGCTACAGAACCGCTATAGAATAAAATAATTTCAATATATAGTCCTTGTAGAAGGGTATAGAGATATACTTGATACAGTAAAAAAATTGCTAGTTCTGCAAAAAATGTGAGGAAAAGTGCGAAATGTATACGGAAAGTATGCGGATATAGTACAGAACTTCTCACTGTGTACGTATGTATATATAATTTTAAAAATTTATACTTTCAAAAAATTATAATTTAAAAAAATGTAATTTTAAAAATTCGTAATTTTAAAAAATTGTATTTCTATACTACATACAACGAACATTTTACTTCCAAGCGGTCTACAATCAAAGTTTTCTTATATAATTGAACCCCAAAGAATCAATTGCGTCCACTTAGAACTCAAACCAGCTTTCAATGAGGTGTCTTAATATTATTGTTGGATAACTTGAAAACAATCAAGTGTCTAAGCAAACGGACAAAACAAATATCAATTTTTTTTTTATTCCCTACCTACTTACTGACCAAAATTCAGTCAAATCAATGATTTACAGTTGCAGTTCCCATGTTAGAAATAGTCATTTTTAATCATTTTCGATAAACTCGTTTCACAGCGCTTCGTGCGTACTAGTTCATCAATCTTCTTTCATTAATTTCTCGAAATTTTACGTGGTCATTTGAGAAATAGTAAGATATTTTTAATTCAGATCAATTCTACCTGCACACAACACACACACACACACACACACACACATACACATACTAATGCATTAGCTTATCTTGCGTCAGATGCACTATACAGAGTGTCCCAGACTTTCCTCCGCCTATTTTGTGGGAATGTAGAACAAGTCAAGGTGTATGTAAAAGTATTATACCGTTTTGCGATATTCACAATAATAGTCAAGATATTAATTAAAGAAGATTGATGAATAATCATGCGCGATACGGTAGATGAGCTGCAATAGCACCGTCTGCCGTTGTATACTTATGCATTAAGGGGAGATATACACCTAGGAGCCGGAAAAAAAGGTCATCTTTGTGAATTTTTTTAAGGAAAACTATTTGAAATTTCGGATTGGGGGTTTTTCTATCTAAAAGTATACACATTCAGGAATATGTCCAATTTTTTTTATTAAAAAAAATCAAAAATTGACGAGGTTGTGGTATAATCTTTGGAGCGCCGTAAAAAAATCCGGGTAAACGGTACCCACTGGCGTTTCTTCAAAAATCATCTGAAACAAAAAAAACCAAAAAGATTATTAAATTAGATACTATAATCTAGTACTTGTCAT